TGACAGTACTATGTAAGTGCCTGAAATAAATAAACTCCCCAGTATGTTATCTTATGTATCCATGCATACATAGACTTTGATTAGCATTTTTTTGGCAGGGGCGTGTCAAGAGGAGTTTTTTGCTGTAAAAACAATTTAGCGCTAGTAAGTGCTGCTTTTTTTAAACCAAAATGTAATTTTTTTTGTAAAAAAAGGTTAAAAATGCTAACGCAGTAAAATGCAGCTGAACACTAAAAAATGCATAAAACCTCGCATTTTTAATGTGACTTTTTGCAGCTAATGCTACCAGCGTTTTTAAAAAGCCCAGTGTGCATGAGGCATTGGAAGTGATTTCCCTGGCATAACAAGCGAGGAGCAATTTCCCAGCTACGCTACAGAGAAAAATAAAACCTCTGAGAGGTTCAGTACAGCAAAGACCAATGGCAAGAATCTAAGCATTTTCTACAACATTTTGCGTTTTGCAGAAATGCAGTACAGTCCATTTAACATGATTTCCTATGGGACAGGTGCACATCTGTGCGTTTTCACTCGGGGTGTTTTTTGGAAAGGGTCAAGTTTTGCAAGTTGCATTTTTGCTTCTATAGACTTCAATGGAAACACTGCAGAAAAGCATATATTGCATTTTTGCTGCATTTTAAATTTGCCTAGCAACAAGAAAAATGAAAAAAATAAAAAAAAATAAAAAAAAAAAACGCAAAATTGCATCAAAAACACAGGTGCAAAACACAGAAACGGCTCAAACACAACCTACATAGATGAGAACCTAGCCCTAAATTCTTTTCTATGCAGCTTTTTTTATATTAAACTTTTGACATGGTCTCATTATAAAAAAAAAAAAAAAAATGTCTCTTTATAAAAAAAAATGTGAAGCAAACAGCATTTTTTTCAGAGTAGAGAAAGATTAAAGCAAACATTTTTGCTAAATTCCTTGCAATGTACTGTATACAAATTACCTAAAATGATTGCTTTTTTCATTTTAAAATTAAAGTTATCTGTTAACTGATTACTGTGTATGTGGTTTTGCATGTAACCATAGCCGTTTGTTCTGATTTATTAGCTCCCATTCACACCTGTGTGATTTCTCATGCTTTTTGCCATCAAGCTACAACAGGGGTCTCCAAACTTTGTAAACAAAGGGCCAGTTTACTGTCCTTCGGGCATTAGGAGGGCTGGACTGTGGCCATTGGAAGTAGAAAAGGTCCCGATGTCAGTGGGGGAAAAACAATGCCCCACTTTTGGTATCAGTGGGAGGAAGAGTGCCTCGCCTTTACTATCAGTGGGAGGAATTGTGCCCCATTAATGGGGTAATTGGGTCGCATTGTTGGTGTCATTGGGATAAATTGTGACCCATCATTGGCGTCATTGGGAGGAATAGTGCCCCATAATTGATGTCAGAAGGAAGAGAATTATGCCCCATCATTGGTGTTAGTAACAATTATTCCTCCGTACCCGCCATCCCCCTCTGCCTATCCCTCCAATTGCCCAATGGATAAAATTCAAAATGCTAACATTGACGTACAAAGCTATTCATAAATCTGCCCCAAACTACATCACCGACCTGATATCCAAATACCACCCAAAACGTACTCTTTGCTCCTCACAAGACCTTCTACTCTCTAGTTCCCTGGTTTCCTCCTCCCATGCCCGTCTCCAGGACTTCCCACATCCTCTGGAACTCCCTACCCCAATCCATCAGGCTGTCACCTACCCTCCTCTCCTTTAGGCGCACCCTGAAAACCCATCTCTTCAAGGAAGCCTACCCCGCCCTCAACTAATTGCCCAATCTCCTCCACTCTTCCTACCACTCCATCCCCCCACAGCCATTTCCTCCTGTACCACTATCCCCTCCCTCCTAGATTGTAAGCTCCAAGGAGCAGGGCCCTCGAACCCTTCGTGTATCGAATTGTATTGTTACTGTACTGTCTCGTGTACTGTCTCCAATTGTAATGTACAGCGATGAGCAAACTGTTGGCGCTATATAAAATACTGTATATAATAATAATTCCTCATCATTGATGTCAGTAGGGGGAATTATGCCCTATTATTGCTGTCAGTGGGCCCCATTGTTGATGTCATTGGGAGAAATTGTGTCCCATCATTGGTGTCAGTGGGGGGAATTATGCCCCATTGCTGCTATCAGTGGATGGAATAGTGCCCCAAGGGCTGGATAAAAGCAAAGTGCCACATCTGGCCCTTAGGCCGCACTTTGGAGACCACTGCGTTAAAATATAGGACTAGAGCAGGGGTCTGCAACCTTTAAGACATAAAGAGCCACTTGGACCCGTTTCCGAAGGGAAAAAAAAGACTGGGAGCCGCAAAACCATTGCAACATTTATAACAAATCCGACACTGCATATATTGCAAAAAGCACTCTGGTCATGAAGGGGGTTTAAGGGCCCAGTAAGCAAAGGGTTAATCAGGGCCACAGTGTATCTTCATAATCACAATCATAGCCTTAGGTCAGTGGTGGGCAACCTTTTTTTTCAACTGAGCCAAATCTCGCCAAAACCACGATTGAAATTTATTTTGACAGCCACATTTTTAAAACTGAAATTACATCCCCCATATAGTAATTCATCCCCCATAGTAATTCATCCCCCATAGTAATTCATCCCCCATATAGTAATTCATCCCCCATAGTAATTCATCCCCCATATAGTAATTCATCCCCCATATAGTAATTCATCCCCCATATAGTAATTCATCCCCCATATAGTAATTCATCCCCCATATAGTAATTCATCCCCCATATAGTAATTCATCCCCCATAGTAATTCATCCCCCATATAGTAATTCATCCCCCATAGTAATTCATCCCCCATATAGTAATTCATCCCCCATATAGTAATTCATCCCCCATATAGTAATTCTTCCCCCATATAGTAATTCATCCCCCATATAGTAATTCATCCCCCACATAGTAATTCATCCCCCATAGTAATTCATCCCCCATAGTAATTCACCCCCCACATAGTAATTCATCCCCCACATAGTAATTCACCCCCCACATAGTAATTCATCCCCCACATAGTAATTCATCCCCCACATAGTAATTCATCCCCCACATAGTAATTCATCCCCCACACAGTAATTCATCCCCCACACAGTAATTCATCCCCCATATTGTCTCAATTCACTTACCTTTGCTCCGCGCGTTCCTCTCGCTGTGTTCCCGCGCCGTTCTGGTCTTCAGGGCGGACTGAGAGAGGAGTTCGTCACTCTGCCCCGCCTACATCCTGGCTGCCAATGTTCCACGCTCCGCGGGCCAGATTTTTGAGGAGGGAGGGGAGCGGGCGCCCGGCACACAGAAGAGCCGCATGTGGCTCGCGATCTGCAGCTTGCCGACCACCTGGTGGCCAGTGTGCTCCGGAGCCGCAGCAAAGATGAAAAAGAGCCGCATGCGGCTCCGGAGCCGCGGGTTGCCGACACCCGGACTAGAGGAATCCCAATATTGTCTGTGGGACTCCATCCTAATGATATAATATGGCAGCACAGTGGCTAAGTGGTTAGTACTAGGGTCATCGGTTCGAATCCCAACCACGGTACTACCTGTCTGGAGTTTGCATGATCTCTCTGTGCCTGTGAGGGTTTCCTCTGGGTGCTCCAGTTTCCTCCCCACACTCCAAAGACATGCCGATAGGTTAATTGGCTCCTCTCTAAATTGGCCCTGGTATGTGAATGGATGAATGTGCGTTAGGGACCTTAGATTGTACGCCCCTTGAGGGTTAGGGACTGATGTGAATGTACAGTATATGTGTGAATTATATAATAAATAAACATGCTTCCATACCTGGACATAGAAAAGGTGCAAACACTTCTTTTGTTGGGACATGGCACATTTATGGCTTCGTTGGCTTCAATGGCATGTATGAAAAATGTATGAAAATGCATGAAAGCGTATGAAAAAAAGCATAAAAATGCAGAAGCACAAGTGTGAACCTAGCCTTAGACTCTGTAGTGTCTACATACAGTATATGATAGTGATGATGATGATGACCAATACATAAGTCAGATGTCATCATAAAGAAAGCAGGGTACAAATTTAATAAGTTGCAGAATGCGTAGCCGTCTGTTCTGATGGGACTAGTCCGCATGGCGTTTGCATGTACTCCAAGTATGTGTGGGTTTTCTCAGTGCCTTTGGTTTGGTGATATTACTTACCTTCTAAACAAATAATTCTGCCAGGTAGTAGAATAGAAGTGGTTAGCACTTCCACCTAGCAGCACTAGGGTTGTTGGTTCAAATCCCAACCACAACACTACTTGCCTGGAATTTGCATGCTCTCCCTGTGCCTGCAAGTGTTTCCTCCAGGTACTCCGGTTTCCTCCCACAATCCAAAGACATACTGGTAGGTAAATTGGATCCTGTCTAAAATTGGCCCATGTATGTATGAATGTGAGTTAGGGACCTTAAATTGTAAGCCCCTTTGAGAGTTAAGGATTGATGTGAATGTATAATATATATGTAAAGCGCTGTGTAAATTATCAGTGCTATATAAGTACATGTAATAAATAAATCATTTTATTAGACTGTCTTTGCAGTGCACCCCTTGGAATTTATTTTAGAACTTTTTTTTTTTTTTTTTACTGATGTTTGAAGTTATCTCAACAAATACTGACCAGTAATCACAGTCCTCTGAAGACTGGCTAGGAAGCTAATCAAGGGAAAGTATATTTACTTTGTCAGTTTGTCAGGCTGTCATTAGGACCACTTGTCAGTGATTTACGGAGTTATTTACAATTAGTGCTCAGCACAGAATTGCATTTACATTTTCACAACCTGCTGTTAAAGGATAATTAGTTCTCTTTTATATGGATCTTGCAGTAAATGTCTCTAACATGCATATACACACTAGACCCCATTTGGGCAGCTGCCAATTAATTTGCCATTATTTTTGTGTAGAGAGGGAAAACAAGAGCAAACAAAGGCAACCCATACAAACTCTATACAGAAAGAGATCCTATTGCAGCCTTTCTCAGCTAGGGTTCCACCAGAAGCTGCTAGAAATTCCTTGAGCAATTACTGTCAGATATGTAACCACTGACAACAGTAATCTTTTTAGTTATCTGTAAGCTGGGTATTGTTCCTGCAGACCACCAATGTAAGGAACATTCTTCCCACTGACCACCAATGTAAGGAGCATGCTTCCCACTGACCACCAATGTAAGGAACAATTCTTCCCACAGACCATCAATGTAAGGAACATTCTTCCCACAGCCCATCAATGTAAGGAACATTCTTCCCACAGCCCATCAATGTGACCAAAGAACATTCTTCCCACTGGCCATCAATGTAAGGAACATTCTTCCCACAGCCCAGCAATGTAAGGAACATTCTTCCCACAGCCCATCAATGTAAGGGAACATTCATTCTTCCCACTGGCCATCAATGTAAGGAGCATGCTTCCCACAGCCCACCAATGTAAGGAACATTTTTCCCACTAGCCATCAATGTAAGGAACATTCTTCCCACTGACCACCAATGTAAGGAACATTCTTCCCACAGCCCATCAATGTAAGGAACATTCTTCCCACTGACCACCAATGTAAGGAACATTCTTCCCACAGACCTTCAATGTAAGGAACGTTCTTCTCACTCACCAACAATGTAAGGAACATTCTTCCCAATTTTTCTTTATTAAAAGTCTCGCAATCAATAAACATAAAATATTATACAGAATATAAAAAAATTATATATATTTACAGCAAAACGAAAATAAACATAGCAAAATCTGCTGTCAGACAAAAGCAAACGTCTCAGAAATGAACTTGACATAATTGGGGAAATAAATCGTACTACCACTCACATCACTACACCAGACATCAAACCTGTGAGGTCAAGAAACCACCCCACCCCCCTTATGCATGCAGTCCTTCTTCAAAAAAGATCTTAATCAACAAAAACTACGGGAGTGAAATGAACAGTATAAGGAAAGAGCCCCTCACCCAGAGATGGACAGTTCACCAAAGGCAGGTCTGATATTCGTCCACGCCCTTATCCAGACCGCCCGAGGCTCTCTGACCCTCTCAAGACCCCGAATCTTCCCAACCTCACCCAGGATATCGTGCACCACCACCTCTACAGGGAGGACTTTCTTCCGCAGGGTAATCTGACACCGTGCGTTCCATGTGAAGTAACGGACAACTATACTAACTAGAAAAAGTGTATCCAAATCAAAGTCCCAGCGAGCTGGGAATGCCCCGTACACCCACTCTGCATAACTCATGCGATAGAGAAAGGGGATGCCCAGAACCCTCCCCACCCTTTTATACACCTCTATGTTAAAGGGACACAGGAGCAGAAAGTGGTCCATAGACTCCACTTTACCAACACACTCTGCTCTAGGACAATCCCGATCATCCACAGGGCGGTGCTTCAGGTTCCCTCTCACATAGAGCCTTCCATGAAAAGCGAGCCAGGCTTGATCCCTAAACTTCAAAGGGATTCTCTCCAAGTTAATTAAACGCAATCCCTCCCTCATTACGGAGCCTGGGCAATCCTTTAAGGCCAGTGACACACTGAAAGCAGAAGCCAAAATCCTCTCCCCCAGAAGCTTCCTGGGAAGGGACCTGATATCCTCCACTGTCACCTGCCACTGCCGAAGTATTTTCAGACACGGGGCAACATAAGCCGGGAGCTTGCCATGTCGGACTCTCAGACTTTTCACTGGGCCGCCATCTTCCCAGCAATGCAGAAAAGGCCTAAACTAGAGATGAGCAAATCGAACCAGGCGAAGTGGAATTCGTTTCGAATTTCAGGAAAAATTAGGATACAGATGTTTTTATTCGGAAATAAATAGATACAAAGTTTTCAACCGCTGTCCAAAAAAAAACCAAAAATGGTGAAGGAACTGTCAGCGTAACTTGCTCCAGAAATAGCGGAGGCTCACTTCAGATACACTTTTTTTGCTGTACTGGAATACTTTCTTCTTTTCATTCTTCTCATTCTTCTTTTCATTCTCTTCTCATTCTTCTTCTCATTC